CCTCGTCCTCTGTTCTAGCCCTGCACACACTCGGCCTACACACAAAGACTTCTGTGAGGGTAGAGCAAGATGAGGAAAAAAAAATCCCTGCCTGTATCTTGGCTGTGTCACTGCTTTATTACCCCACCACACACACACATGCCTACACATAACCCCTCCTGATTGGCTGGTGTAATATTAACAAATGAATCTCTCAGCTCTGGCTACATTTAAGGGGCCCCTGAAAGTAAGCATGTGTTTATTTTTACAGTGAAAGAGGGGGGAGGAGAAGACGGAGGGTTTGAGGAATTGGGGGAGGGTAGAGGAGCAGGGAGGGGTTTCTTTGTGGTAATATACAGCTGGAGAAGAAGAGGGGGTTACAAAATCCTGCCTTCTGTTGGAATCCTGTGCTGAGCGTGGATGTCTGCACACTTTCTGTCTGCTGTTTGGGGGCAGAGTGACACCTCTACTTGCTGCTCTGCTCTGTGGGAGCTGATAGTTGCAAGTATGACGAGTCCTCGCTGTACATTTTTCTAAAGATGTGTACCTGAACATCTCTGTGTTGGTGTTGGCTTCATGAAAAGTCTGATTTGGCTGTAGAAGGAGCTCCATTTGCCCTCTATCAACATCCAGCCTGTCTCTTTCTTTCTCTCGCCATGTCTCCTTTTCTTTTCCTTTATTGCTTTGGCCTGGCAGAGCGCCCGAAGCTAGAGGGGTGGGGAGGGGAGGAGGTCGTGGGAGGGATTACGGGTGGGTGAGGAGAACGAGAGTGTGGCTTGTGTAGCAGCTGACTGAAACAGTCATTATATTATGTAAAGGCAGGCGGCGGCAGTGGCCAGGAGGAGGGGGGGGGGGGCGTGTAAGGTGCCAGTTACTGACGCGCGGCGAGAGGCCGGCCCTGATTGGCTTGTCAGCGCCTCTCTCAGCGGTGCTCTCTGGCTCATTAAAGGTGGAGGTTGGAGCTGGTGTGCTTCTCCCAGCAAATGGAGGCTCTGCCGCTGCGTCATAAACTAATCACAGAAGAAGAACAAGTGGCGGGATGGGGGGGGTCAGGGGGGAGTTAGTACTCTACGATCATTAAGACTCCTCCCTTTGTTAAAGAGGCTGCTGTGTTTATAATCACTCTGCTTATGAGCACTGACTGAATGTGTATCGCATGTAGCAGTCATGGCTAGCACTGTTAGCATCACTGCTGCATCAGCTACCTGTACACGAGATGACGTAGTTCTGGGTGTAGTCTCTAAACTGCCTTCAGATAATCAGCCTTCAAACCACTTTGCACCGTCACTGTCAGGTGATAGTGCTGTCAGGTGATGGATGCAGTGATGGATGCAGTCAGGTGATGGATGCAGTGATGGATGCTGTCAGGTGATGGATGCAGTGATGGATGCTGTCAGGTGATGGATACAGTGATGGATGCTGTCAGGTGATGGATGCAGTGATGGATGTGGTCATGTGATGGATGTGGTCAGGTGATGGATGCAGTGATGGATGCTGTCAGGTGATGGATGCAGTGATGGATGCTGTCAGGTGATGGATGCAGTGATGGATGTGGTCATGTGATGGATGTGGTCAGGTGATGGATGCAGTGATGGATGCTGTCAGGTGATGGATGCAGTGATGGATGTGGTCAGGTGATGGATGCTGTCAGGTGATGGATGTGGTCAGGTGATGGATGCAGTGATGGATGCTGTCAGGTGATGGATGTGGTCAGGTGATGGATGCAGTGATGGATGCTGTCAGGTGATGGATGTGGTCAGGTGATGGATGCAGTGATGGATGCTGTCAGGTGATGGATGCTGTCAGGTGATGGATGTGGTCAGGTGATGGATGTGGTCAGGTGATGGATGCAGTGATGATGCTGTCAGGTGATGGATGCGGTCAGGTGATGGATGCAGTGATGGATGCTGTCAGGTGATGGATGCAGTGATGGATGCTGTCAGGTGATGGATGTGGTCAGGTGATGGATGTGGTCAGGTGATGGATGCAGTGATGGATGCTGTCAGGTGATGGATGTGGTCAGGTGATGGATGCAGTGATGGATGCTGTCAGGTGATGGATGTGGTCAGGTGATGGATGCTGTCAGGTGATGGATGTGGTCAGGTGATGGATGCAGTGATGGATGCTGTCAGGTGATGGATGTGTCAGGTGATGGATGTGGTCAGGTGATGGATGCAGTGATGGATGCTGTCAGGTGATGGATGTGGTCAGGTGATGGATGTGGTTCAGGTGATGGATGTGGTCAGGTGATGGAGTGCAGTGATGGATGCTGCAGTTGCAGTGATGGATGTGGTCAGGTGATGGATGCAGTGCAGGTGATGGTGCAGGTGATGGATGTGGTCAGGTGATGGATGCTGTCAGGTGATGGATGCTGTCAGGTGATGGATGCAGTGATGGATGCTGTCAGGTGATGGATGCTGTCAGGTGATGGATGCAGTCAGGTGATGGATGCTGTCAGGTGATGGATGCTGTCAGGTGATGGATGCAGTGATGGATGCTGTCAGGTGATGGATGCAGTGATGGATGCTGTCAGGTGATGGATGCAGTGATGGATGCTGTCAGGTGATGGATGCTGTCAGGTGATGGATGTTCTCAGGATGCAGTACACTATAAACCTAGATAACATACTTTAGTAGTTTTTTATGAACAGCTGATTTGAGTGATTGATGAATTGAGACTGTATGGAGGCATTAGTCCACCCTGAACTGCACCTATAGGTTGTTGCTGCAGACACACCTCTTCTTGCTGCCATCTGATGGAGTTGAGCTCCACGCCTTGACTTCCTCTCCTGTGCAGCACAGTTTTGAGATTATGTGTTCATGTTTTTCTTCTGCTGCTTGCTGATTAGTTTTCTGTACCTGGTCAGCAATCTGCTCAACTGGTTGTTTTAAATGTGCTACACAAAGCTTGACTTAACTTCACTAAGCTAATGCTAATAAGACATGGCTTGTTGTTGTCCTTTTCAAATACAGACCCACACTAACACACACACACACACCCAGAGGCATCATACATTACACATGTCCAAGCTATTCTTACCCGGCGGTGTTTAGCCCACTTCTGTCTGAATGAGCTGACCCTGTTTTCTGCCCTGATCCTGAGGTCAGGGGTTATATGAGGTGGTTTGATTTGAATGGAATGTATGATTCCCTCCTTCACAGTTTCAGGACAGTTCAGCTGCAGAGAAGATAAGCTAAAATTCAGCAATGTGTTACATTTGATCAATCCAGTATGTGGTTGGCAGCCAGTGGAGGTCCCAGAGGAAAGGGATGATGTGGTCAGAGCGACAGGTGGAGGTGACTAGCTGGGAGCAGAATTGTGTGCGTATTGAAGTTTCTTGAGAACATAAGCAGGTGAACCATAGAGAATGCTGGTGCAGTTATCAGGTCGGGATGCAATGACTGAATGGATGAGAGTTTCAGCAGCGGTGTTCGGCGGATAGGGGCAATGCTCTTTGATTGGAGGAAGGCAGTTTTGATGATCTTAAGGCACATAGGAGCTTCAGACATTCCCCAGTGGGGTATTTATTGATGTAATTTATGTCGTTGAACAAAACGTGACATCTCTTCAGCTTGTGTTTACTACAGATCTTATCTAACCACAAACATGTTCAAGAAAATTGAAGGAACAGGAAGGGCTAAAATGCTGACTTATTTCCAGGTTTATGACTCATGTCTGCGCCAGTCTTTGATAACAGCAAAAAGCAGATTTCTCAATTCTGTGTAGACATCCACAATAATGCAGACACTTAAAGCAGTAAGTCTGTTTTGGAGCATAACTGTACTTCAAGGTGATTAAACTCAGTACACAGCCATGGCTAAAATATGAGTAGCAGCAATACAAAAAAAAATAAGTGGCATAAGTAACATATTACAATATTGAGACATAGCAAAAAAAATTGGACATTTATAATGAATGTATGTTTTACACATGAAACTGATCATTGCTAAATACAATTGCCCAAAAATGATCTAAATTGCACATTGCAGGTTTATTGCACAAGATTGCAACAGTCTGTATTGTGTGAGGGTATACCAGGTAGTCTATTTGCCAGCATACTGAACACAGAAATGTTGAGTTTTATGTTAGAAATGTATAGTAGGGTCCCCAGCACATAGAAACTGCCGGATGCTAGCCTGCATATGATGGGCAATTTGCACAATTAGCATAAGTTGTGTTAATTAGCATGAATGGCATTAAAGCTTAACTTTCTTAAAAATAAATAGGCAATCTGTCCGATCCTAAGGTCCAAATCGGCCAAACATTTCTTAAAAGTATTAGAAGTTGATAAATCAATTTAGCGAAAATTAAGGGTACACATTAAAAGTATTAAAGGGCATTTTCCAAGGTATTACATGTTGTAGCTTGTTTTCAATAAGTATATAAATTGTCCAAAGAGGTTGTATTCTACAGTGTGCCTGAATGTAATCATTGCGTAGGTGTGTAGTGTGATTCTGTGTAGTTTATTTATGGCATCCCGTTGGGTTTGACGTCATCTGAACAGCACATCGCACGCTCACTGCTTGATAGCGCACGAAGCTCCGTTTACGCCGGTTGTTAAACATCGTTATGGGGAAATGCAAGTCTGCGTCCAAATGGTTGGAAGATAAGGAGGAAGGACAATCAATACTGTATATAGTCAATGTGAGGTAAAGTGTGTCGCCAATGTAACCGGTTAAAACTCCAAGTGGCGATGAGGTCTTAAAATGTATGGAAAGGGTCTTAAAAAAGGTCTTGCAAGGTATTACATTTGACTTCAGGATTCCTGCATATACCCTGTAATAATATAATGGCAATTCATGGTAATTAATGCAACTTTAGCTAATGGTGCAATTAGCCAATTACCCAACATATTCAAGTTATCATCCGGCAGTTTCTATGTGCTGGGGACCCTACTATACATTTATAACATAAAACTTTGGCAACATTTCCGGGTTCACTATAGGACTCTATGAGCTGGTTGGTTGTACATGTTGCTAACCCCTGTGTCCCTGCTAACCCCTGTCCCTGCTGTCCTGCAGGATGGAGCGGATGTCTGAGGAGGCGCTGAGGCTCAACCTGCTGAAGCGAGGCTTAGAGTCCCCCAACGAGCGAGAGGAGGCCCTGGCCAAACGCCTCAAAATGGAGGGCCACGAGGCCATGGAGCGCCTCAAGATGCTGGCTCTACTCAAACGCAAGGACCTCGCTGACCTGGCAGCCCTGGAGGTCGGGGGGCCCCTGGGGGAAGGGAAGGGGCCCGGAGCCAGCAGCCTCCACCACCAGAGCCTCATGGGAGGTGCCTACGAGGAAAAGATGAACGGGAGTCTGAGGCTGGCGGGCCACGGCAGCCATATTGGAGCCAGTAAGAACGGGAAGGAGAACATGATGGATGAGCCGGTGGACATGAGCGCTGGGAGGAGATGGTGAGGAGAACGTGTTCAAAGAACCAGAGAGCACCGGGGCCGCTGATAACAAGCATGGTGGCTCTGTGCTATTCAAATGTCACATCTGCTCTGCCAACACTAACTACGCCAACACTGGAACTGGAAAAATGTTTAAAGGTTTTTTTAAGGCCAAATGTGTTGTTTGTAGATTAAGTGATGTGCACTTATTAAATAGGCATAGTATGTATTATGCCAGGCAGTCAGTAGAGACCGTGAGATTATAATATTCTAACTCTTGATTGAAGCTAAATGTGTGGCTGGACTTGAGGGAACAACACAAGTCACTGAGAGGCTGAGGTCGGGCCTGGATGGCTTTGTATGACGCTGAGAATCAAACATGTGTTGAACAGATCTTAATTTGAATCATCAAAATATTAGACTATGCACAAAATGTATGATCAGAATAACCAAGCTTTTGAAAGTGGGCCATCAAAAAATACAGCGACACACTCACACAGGTTGGTTATGTTCACTATGAGTCACGCCCATATCCATGTGACCCAACTAATCCAACCAATTGTGATCACACAATAATACATTATGATATTATAAACAATGACCTACACCAAATCATCCAATGGACTATATATATAATATATTGTGTGCATCTTTTGACACATTTCCCTAAAACCTCCCCCAGACAGAACTGAGGCCTCATTTATAGGGGTCTTCTACCAAACAGCCCCGGCAGTCAACATGTCCCATAATTACTCCTGTATGCATGTCGGCTGTGTTCAAGTGTTTGTGAGCTGCTTTGGTTAAAAGCATTAGCTAAATGAAATGTAATGTGCTCAAATTTACACACACAAAAATTGTTCACTCAAATAACAATCTTAATAACGGTGTAACTAACATAACAAAGTGTGAGAGACTAATCTGTTTATCAGCTTTAATGAAGTAAAAAAGGCAATTCCTGATATAACGTAATGGAAGGTTGACAACAGTGATGTTGAAGGCCTCCCTCACAGAGTGCAGTGCTCCTCACATCCTCTCCCCCAGCAGGTCACATTCTGGGATTGAAAATGAACATTTCAGATGCTCCAGAAGTTGACGGACCTTTTTGTTGTTCCTGTAGCGAGGCTGAGCATGACAGACGGACTCCGTCTCCAGACGTCATCATCCTGTCAGACAACGAGGCGTCCAGTCCCAGAACGACGCCGCGCCCTGAGGAGCGCCTGCACCAGGCCAACCTGGACCTGTTCAAGGTACTGTACAGCAGCACTGTGAAGGCTCTTCTCTGATCTGTATATTAAAGCATTAGTAAGAATTTTAAAACTATAGAGCACCAAAAAACATTTCCTACACAGGGCTATCTCTGGCACATAACATGGGAAATAACAAACAATGAAACATATCCATAAGAAGAACAGTAGAAATGAAAGGGGCCCTATTCTGCTGATGTTCAGGAAGTCCCTCTGCAGGAAACACAGGGATTGTAGTCTTTGCAGACCATTTACATGCACACAAACATATGCAACCTAACACATTACAGGAGAGGAAACACTCCCAAAAGCATAACAGGGCCTACAATAAACAGTGAGCATAAGAGAGACAGAACCATCCTCATCACAAATCACCCAGGAAATACATCATTGAATCATTCAAATGAAGAAACATCTACTTCAACTGGTTTTTGATTTTAAAGGGTTATCTGTGCTGGCTCTTTGGCTCTCACCTGTGTGTTAGCTAGGGTTTGCCATGTGGACACAATGTCTGACTGATGCTGTGTGTGTTCCAGGGGAAGACGGTGGAAGAGAGGCAGCAGATGATCAAGGCTCTGAGGGAGGAGCTGCGCCTGGAGGAGGCCCGCCTGGTGCTGCTCAAGAAGCTCCGGCAGAGTCAGATGCAGAAGGAGAACGTGGTGCAGAAGGTCAGTGCAGAGCTCACTCCAACATCCACCTGCTGTGGAGTGTGTTAACTCCTGCGTTTTGTTTGTTTTTAAACTATTTATTTTCCAATACACAAATACACACAAATACATAGATACTGAAAATAAGAGAAAGAGCAGGGGATCATACTACTCCACATTTACAGCCTTTCTTTTTCCTCGTCTACCGTCCATTTTTCCCAGCGTTGTTCACAGATCTCTGCCTCAGTCCTTAGACAGTAGGTCAGTGTTTTCATAGTCAATATCTCTTCTACAACGTCCAGCCTCTGACCCAGTCCAGGAGGGTCACTTTTTAAACAGGTCCTTGTGATGGCCTTTTTTATAGAGGTCTTCCTTTCCAATTATACTCCAGAATCATGCCCAGATACATAACCCTGGGGTCACAGGGAATCTCATCACTTTATATTCTCTTCCAGAGTCTGAATAACTCTGAAAATGCCTGTACTTTTATACATGACCAGAACATGTGTGAATGATTGGGATTCAACTGCTGACTTGAGTTCTAATGTGTGCTTTAAAGGGGACCTATCATGCAAAATGCACTTTTGTACGTCTTTTCTACATGAATATGTGTCCCCGGTGTTCCAGGGAACTCACCAAGTGTCAGAAAACACAACCCTCTCTATTTTCCTCCATACCCAAATCTCTAAAAAAGGGGCTGCAACGGATCTGATAAAAACTGATCCAGATTTGAACACTGTCCTGACGTCAGGAAAGTGGCGCTACGGCTATTGGGCCAACTCCACCAATCAGGAGGAGACAGCCACGGCCATTGCCGTTCGAAAGCGCTGGAGACGATGTAGTACATATGCCAGGCCAGTAGATGGTGCTGTTCTCACTGAATCAGCCCTTGCTAAAACAGAGCTATGAATTGTCAAATTGAGCAAAATGAGGCATGGCTAAAATGCATGATCTGTTTGGTATTTTGAAAAAAAAAAGTATAAATATGCCTTATATAGGTATGGTCCTACACTATATTATTCAAATATAGCATGATAGGTCCACTTTAAGTTTACTGTAATATGATGAAGTTAAAAGACACACATAAGTTTGCAGGAATCCCCTGTTAACGCTGTCTGCTGTCCTCAGGTCCCCGTGGTGCAGAACGCTGCCTCCTCTGTGCAGGCCCCCCCCATGCACAGCTCTCAGGGCCTGGGGAAGCTGCCTGTGAGGCCGGGCATGCACAACCCGGAGCCCCAGAACCTCCGCACGGCACAGGTCTGTCTGCCATACGCGTTAACAACTATCAACCATGGACTGTATTTGTAGTTCTGCCCGCTGCTTCAATAACACATTAGTCCTGCTTGAATAAGGAGGGGAAATAAGCTCAAAGTAGAGGGTCACTCTGAGGTCAGTTTACGGCTCATGGTTAGTACTTCCTGGGTCAGTACACTTGTTTAGTAGAATGTCTTTAGTGTATCTGTAGGAGATAAGTTAAGTCTGAGAAAATGACTACAACATTTAGCAGTCTGGGTGTTAAGGAAAATATGCATTGTGGGAAATAAAGTAAGTGCTATCAGAGCCTGACCAATACTTGAATTTGCCATTCTTTTTCTAAATATGTCTCCTGTGAGTCCTAAAATGAATTGAAATCCAATATTAAAATCACCAGTGGACTTTTTGTTAAGCTTGGTTTTAGGAATAGACTTTGTCTCTTCAATATTGAACGGACATTTAACATTACCTGGTCTTGTGCTCAAGTGGTCTTGATAAGTTGATAAAATCTTGAGGTGCTTATTTTAGAGGGAGCTGTTGTCAATCTCCAGCCTCAGTTCCTCCTCAGGCCACCATGAACTGTGTGCTTTTGGCAGTGTGTGTGCTTCGTTATGAGTATGGAAGAGGAGCAGGATATTGGTGTCTCCTGAACTGAGAGCCTTTCATGAACTCTCTGCTGTTTCCTCTCTGTAGGGTCACACGGTTATCAGGTCAGCAGCCAATGCTAACCTGCCCCCCATGCTGATGTCTCAGAGAGTGATAGCCCCCAACCCTTCCCAGCTGCAGGGCCAGAGACTGTCCTCTAAGCCCGGGATGTCCCGCTCCAGCTCCAGCATGGCCAACGCCGTCAGCTACCAGCAGGTAGGCCCCTCCATCACTGTGTCCTCTTTCTGCTGTGGACTACCAGCTAGTCATGGTTAAAGCAATGTGGGCCAATGATACTGTTTAACGGGATACGTTAGAAAATAGGATACGTTAAGCTTGTACTTAAATGTACATGTACATTAGCACATCCTTAACTAGCATTAGTGCTGCTATGCTACGCTAGCTGCCAAAGGTTTAAGATAAGATAAGATTTAATGTATTGATCCCAATCTGGGAAATGTTTGTATCACGTGTCAAAAAGACTTTGCACATAATGTGAACATGTTAAAGAATAGAGAATAAACAAACATAGAATAGAAGCATCTCAAAATAGAAAATAAATCCAAACTTAAAAGTAAAATATATATATACATACATAATGACAGTGAAAGATATATATCTGCAGACCATCTGTCAAATATACACTATGAAGGGCCAAATACAGCTGCCAAAATATATGACCTGAATGTATACACATGCTGCTTTTGAATTGAACTATTTTAAGGGTGAATAAAGAGCTGCCCTGATTTCCAGGATTGTAGGTGTGCTATTGCTAGTTAGCTTTACACTGTGATCTGTTGCTTTAATGTTAGCTGCTATCTATCTATTTGTTTGAACTTGTTTTTGACTGATTTATAAGCTTTACAGTGAGCTTCAATCTTTAACTGATTAGCTTCTTAGTTTAATATCCTGGAAATATCTATCAAGCAAATATAGCGGACCCTTCTATCATCTTCCCTCTGAGAGATATGTCGTCTGAGAGTGTAGTGAGTGAGGGTCTTGGCTCCTGCTCCGGGAGCTTGAATCATTATTCTGCCTCAATAGAAAGCTAAGAACTAGTTGAACAAATCCATTTCGAGGTAGAACACCATCACTGTCCGCAGCATGACATCCAGTCATAAATCATCTAGTTGCCAGCAGTGTGAACCCAGAAATGTTGGGTACCCCAAAGTTTTATGTTAGAAATGTATAGTAGGGTCCCCAGCACATAGAAACTGCCGGATGCTAACTTCCATATGTTGGGCAATTTGGACCATTAGTATAATGTGTGTTAATTAGCATTAATAACCATTATAGCCTATGGGGACAATAGTTAGATGTCTTAGATGTCAATAGTTAGATGCTGATTTTGACAATTTTGGAGTGGTTTTGGGGGTTATTGAGGATGTGTAGTGCATTTCAGACCTTTTCAGGATATAAATGGCAGTTTTAACCAGAAAGTGGCAGTATTTGTACTCCCAGTGGGCTGACTCTCAACTTAAGCTAATGGTCCAAATTGCCCAACATATACAGGTTAGCATCCAGCAGTTTCTATGTGCTGGGGACCCTACTATACATTTATAACATAAAACTATGAGGTACTGAACATCTCACGGTTCACAATAGGACTCTATGAGCTGGAAACACTAGAAACACTACACTATACAGTAGATGAGAACTCTAAAGGGCAACTTGTAGCCACAACCTGAACCTTAGCGAGGCCAGGAGAATGTATTTACTGTGTCAGCTGGTGACAGAAGGGTAAAGTGTGGCTCTCCTCTGCTTAGCATCAGAGAATGTGTGTCTCCCTGCAGGCCAGCCAGCAGGTGGCAGCCTCCCAGCGCTCAGGCTCCAGTGCCATGTACATGAACCTGGCCCACATGCAGGCGGCCGCAGCAGCCGGGGGGGGTATGGGCGGGGCTTCGGCCGTCAGCCCCTCCACCATGTCCAGCTCGGCGGGCGGAGTCAGCTCCATCGCAGACCAGGCCAGCAGCCAGGCGGCCGCCAAGCTGGCCCTGAGGAAGCAGCTGGAGAAGACCCTGCTGGAGATCCCCCCACCCAAACCCCCCGCCCCGCTGCTCCACTTCCTGCCCTCTGCCGCCAACAGCGAGTTCATCTACATGGTGGGGCTGGAGGAGGTGGTGCAGAGTGTGCTCGACAGTCAGGGTAAGCAGCTCCTCTTCACCTTCAAGCACTGGAAGATAGTTTTTTCATGTCCTCCATAACCCTTCAAATGATTAAGGGTCAAATCTGACCAGCTTACTACTTTCATCAATACAAATAAATATTGTGTTTCACATCTGATAGCCTCAAGGCCTCATGATATCCTCCACAGTAGGCATTTGAACATTGAGTGGTTTAGTCAACTTTGTAACATCTATGGTGTTCCCAGTCAAAGATGACCTCTATAGAAGATGAATGGGTAACCCTAGATGATGTCCATCCATCAGATAGTACACACACACACATCTACAACCATGTTACATTTGGAATACATTTTCAGTGTGTATTCTTTGTATATTACCTGCAGTTATTCATGTTAACCTAATTCTGAGACATTGTTTACAACTTAAAAGGGTTTTAAATAACATTTATTTGCTGATGTTTAATTGTTGTTGTGTTAAAGGTGGGGTAGGTAATTTTGGAGAAACCAGCTCGAGATCGCTAGAATTTGAAAATACACAACCGGAGAAAATCTGCCACTTCCTTACAGAGCCCCTCCTCCAACACACACAAACGTGCACATGACCAATGAGGGCACGAGATAAGTTTGTGCACAGATGGAAGGCTGACAGGCAGGTAGGCCATCCAGTTATTTTAACCGGGCCGGCTAAAATGATTGGTCGTGCTTTTTACAGTATTACGGCTTCCACAGACGACATTTTTTTTATGGATTTTTTTGTCAAAGCACAAAAAGTGTATCTCGAGCCGGTTTCTCAAACATACCTACCCCACCTTTAATGTAAGAGCAGTTAAAACAGACCGGTCAAATACCTAGAGAACCAAAGTAAGGGGGGAGAAATTAACCTGAAGATGAATGTGATGAATCCTAAAGTTAGCGTATTGCTGCTCTCAGGTAAACTCAGAGGCACGCTGGGCCGGATGGAGCCGTTCTTCTGCGCCCAGTGCAGAACCGACTTCACCCCCCACTGGAAGCAGGAGAAGAGCGGGCGGATCCTGTGTGAGCAGTGCATGACCTCCAACCAGAAGAAGGCTCTGAAGGCGGAGCACACCAACCGGCTGAAGAACGCCTTTGTGAAGGCCCTGCAGCAGGAGCAGGTCAGCACCAGCACACTACACCACTACACCATCACACTACACCACCACACTACACCATCACACTACACCACCACACTACACCATCACACTACACCACTACATTACACCATCACACTACACCACCACACTACACCACTACACCATCACACTACACCACCACACTACACCATCACACTACACCACCACACTACACCACTACATTACACCATCACACTACACCACCACACTACACCACTACACCATCACACTACACCACCACACCATCACACTACACCACCACACTACACACATCACACTACACCACTACATTACACCATCACACTACACCACCACACTACACCACTACACCATCACACTACACCACTACACCATCACACTACACCAGCACACTACACCATCACACTACACCACTACATTACACCATCACACTACACCACCACACTACACCACTACACCATCACACTACACCACCACACCATCACACTACACCATCACACTACACCCACCACACTACACCAACTACACCATCACACTACACCACTACACCATCACACTACACCATCACACTACACCATCACACTACACCACCACACTACCACCACTACACCATCACACTACACCACCACACTACACCATCACACTACACCACTACATTACACCATCACACTACACCACTACATTACACCATCACACTACACCATCACACTACACCAGCACACTACACCATCACACTACACCACTACATTACACCATCACACTACACCACTACATTACACCATCACACTACACCACCACACTACACCACCACACTACACCACTACACCACCACACTCACCATACACCATCCACACTTACACCATACACTACACCAGCCTACCATCACAACTACACCCACTACATACCATCACACTACACCACCACACTACACCATCACACTACACCACTACATTACACCATCACACGACACCATCACACTACACCAGGCACTCCTCAAAGTCCGGACTCCGGTCCGGATCCGGACGAACCACAACTGTCTCTGGACTCTGAGCAATTATACTTTCATATGTATTATCTGTATTATCTGCGAGACATCGCCACAACACAACGAGTCAAAATCTCCGCTATGTCCACTGCAAACAGCGCTCTGCATGTCCGACGTTCCACTGTCTGTGTGTGTCTGTCAACGCTTTGGTCCAATCACATTCAGCATCCCGTCAGCGTTTTTCGCCCACCAACAGTCTGCGAATCAGAGGCACAGTAGGGCGGGTCTTCGCGGAATGCGGGTGGGAAAAATGCGTGTGTCGTCTCTTTCAACCTGTCTGAGTCAGAGCGAGAGTTTAAAAAGAAAAAAGTCAGAGCGAGAGTTATCAGCCCATCTAGCTGCATCTGTACTGTAGCTAGTAGCCTAGTTTCACCTACCGGGGTGGCATGGGGTGGCAACTGCCACCCTAAAAATAGGCCTTGCCACCCCAGTTGGCAGCTTTGTTTTGGAAGAAAAGTTGTGGCTCATCTGACATTTATGAGAGAAAGTCTCTAAAGGCCCAGACACACCAGGCCGTATTCGGCCGTCTTCGGCTGTCTGGCGACAACGCGTTCCCTGTCGCCCAAAGTCAATTTGGTGTGTCCCGAACCCTCGCCCGTGACACGCCTTATTTGGCCTTTCACGGTCGACACATGGCCGATGCAACATGTTGAATCGGCCAAAATACGGACACAAGCTATCAGGCCAAGAAACCACTCTGATCAGCTGGTCAGCTAGCAAATGAGAAGCGAAACGGAAGGGAGGGACGTAAACAAACGATTTAAGAAGGCACAGGACAGCAGCTAAACACCAGCAGGTGATAGTTAAAGACATCAAACATAGCCCTTAATGTCCTCTCTTACCTCCCACACATAGCAGGGACATCTCTGATATCGGCGGGAGCGTCCCCGGCTGTCCTCTGCTGAGAGCTCCGTGATTTGTTTGGTCAAGTCCGGTTTTTCATCTCATCGGTTTATTTGTCAGTATAAAGTTGCAGGATTAGTCTCAAGTACCTCAACATTGTCCTTAAGTACAGTGTCTAAGTAAATGAGATACTGTCTACTGCTGTTCATTTACCTATTGTGAGTCGCCTCAGATAAAAGCATCACATGGAAATGTAAATTTAGCATTATTACATTATTACATTGCTGACTCAATAAACGACACACCCGCCAGAACACTGCGATCATCAGATGCAGGTCTATTAACTGTGATTTTATAGTATGTCTGCACTTTATGTGCTCATTTCATCATTCATGTATTTTTATATTCTAAAACATGTTTTCGATGGACGAGAGTGAAAATGGAACGCATACGCTATTTGTTGTTTGTTTATATCAGTCTGTTCTTCTTCTCTGTCTTCCGGTTGTTGCCTATTTTGAATGACGAATACACACTACCGCCGCCTGCTGGTAAGGAGAGTTATTGCCACTCACGCATGCGCAGTTCGTACGTGCTCGGCTGAAGTCTTTGTGGTGTGTTCCAGTGCGACACATGGCCAAGACGCAGGAGAACTCGTCGATGGAACTGTCGGTGTCGGTGTCGGCGAGTTCTCTGGTGACTGCCTGGTGTGTCAGGGCCTTAATGTCCGAGTGCAAGTGAATGCAGCACAAGACGCACGTCTTGTAACCCCTCCCCCGTCCCTGGCGCGAGCGTGGAATTATGATTGGCGGAGATTTCATTTGAACGGGACGGCGCAAAACTAGAAGCATTCGGACCCAAGTACTGAAGGAATGAGGTATTTGCGGTCTACAATGACAGAGAAGAGACTGTCAAGTTTGGCTGTACTCAGCATTGAATCAAAACGCACTAAAGCTGTTGATCTTAATAAGTTTGTGAGGCGTTTTGCTGAACAAGATGGTAATCGCCGCATTCAGCTGTAATAGACATGTCAACTTGATGCTCTGCTCACGGATGAGCAGAGATGGGGTCGTTACTAAAAAAAAGTAATATATTACATATTACATATTACTTTAAAAAAAAGTAATATATTACACTACTTCGTTACTCTCTACATAAAGTAACTCGTTACTTTACTCGTTACTTTACTCGTTACTTTACTCGTTACTTTTACTTTACTCGTTACTTTACTCGTTACTTTACTTTACTCGTTACTTTACTCATTACTTACTCGCAGGGCCGGCCCGCCCCTCCCTACAGGCAGATCACGCAGACTGCTAAAGTTTCAAATGTTCTCTTTAGTTCAGTTTCCATTGTCACATAAGACTGATCCAGATAGCTCTGACCATGGCTGTCCTCTGTCTCCTGCTATCTGTATTTTGCGCAGTATATCTCTGAACGATGCGATGGTGATTCCACTGTGCAAATGGGCAACATTACCTCTACTATGAAGGATGCTACAAGCCTGTCCATCTCTGCTTTGGTTACCGGTCCTCCAAATTCTAATTTGTGCCGCTTCGGAGTCGGCGGCGGCGACTCACAACATCCTCATTCTGGGTTCGGGGGTCCTTAGCTATTAGCTTCACCTTAGCATGTGTTCTTTGCAGGTGTTTGTTGAGGTTTGACGTGGTGTTTACAGCAGTGTATAACAGCTTCTGGCCTGGACACAGTTTGCACCTCACCGTCACATTCCTGTCTATTCTTCGGACAAACTCAAAATAATGGGCATACCTCCACCCCTCGAAAGTTATCGCTGACTCAGCCATGTTTATGCAGCACTGCACGCGGAGATGTGGACGTGCAAGTTGCGCAGATTACGTCCATATAAACCTGCGGCGGAAACCCCTCTTGTCTGTCAGTGTGATTATGACTGATTTTATAAAAGTAACGAAGTAACGCGTGTCGGGGCAATGTTAGTAACTGTAGTGTGATTACTGAATTATAAAAGTAACGCGTTACACTACTCCGTTACCGACAAAAGTAATATTATTACAGTAACGCGTTACTTTGTAACGCGTTACACCCAACTCTGCGGATGAGCATACACAACTGTTAAGATGATGACCTTACGTGTGTAAATATATTTTTTCTTTGTGGGGGTCTGCCCCCAAAAAACAGTTTTAAGTTCTGAGAAAGTCAAATAAGACGGTGTGTAAAACTACACTGCCCAGCCAACACAAAGTAACCACTTTGATTGAACTAGGCCAGTAGGTAAGGACTTTCCACTGGATAATAACTGAAGTATAAAAGAATGCATGACTGAAGTGATGGAGACCATGTTTGAAGGCAAACAAAAAGAGGAAATAACAGGTCAAATCAAGCAAATCCCCCTCTCAGATTCCACAGCAACCAGAAGAACATAAATACTGGCTGGTGATTTGATTAATCAGCTTTGTGATGGAATAGAAAATGCACAGTGCATTTCCTTAGCTGTGGATGAGTCCACTGACACCACTGACAATGCTCAGTTGCTGGTGTTTGTGAGTTTTTATGATGAGGCAAAGGGGGAGTTTGTTGAAGATGTGTTGGGCCTGACGAACCTCAGTGGACACACAAGAGGGCAAGACATTTATAAAGCAATAATGGGAATGCTGAATGAAAGAGGGTGCAGCTGCCTTTATTCATAACTGTGCAGCTCTCACACTGAGACTCTGAGGGATCAAGCACAGACACAATAACAATGAAAACTGCTGCAGACAGAGACTTTTTGTTTTTGCAACCTCGTGTTAAGAATCTTGTTGCAATTGTTTGAATGACCGTAATAAACGGACCTTTGTCCTTTTGGACCTTTAAGATTTGTATTTGAGTACCCCTGCACTACACCACACACTACACCATCACACTACACCACCACACTACACCACCACACCATCACACTACACCACCACATACACGTCTGTATTCTCACTCTGAGCTGTCTGTATTAATGTGTGTTCTTCTTGTGGCCCCCATCAGGAGATAGAGCAGAGGCTGCAGCAGCAGGCCGCCCTCTCCCCCAGCTCGGCCCCCACCGGCCCCAACGCCTCTAAGACTGACTCCATGATCCGACACCATGCACTCCGCCAGGTACACTGCAGCGCTCCCCCCCACCCTCCACCTGCCTCCAGCCTGCACTGTGCTGTAGTATTCAGGAGAGGCTTGATTTGGAACTCACCCAGTGTTCCATGTGTTCTGTAATAAATGTGGCTAATTACAATTATATCCATTTAAATTGGTTAATCTATTAATTATTTTTTCATTTAATTCACATTTGAGTTGTCTATTAGATATCACTGCTGCTTAAAAGACCATGATTTAAGACATGATTTTATTAGGAGGATTAATAGCTGGTAAAAATGAATCCCTAATGATATAAACAGAGAAACGCACTGTAAGCTTGTTTTAAGCTGTTAGAAGCAAATATCTGCTATTCAAAGACCATATGCAGTACTGCAGTGCACCACTGTGTGGCAGTGATGGTGAAGTTGTTCATCGACTACATACATGTACTTGTTCAAAATTCAAAGCGATTATTTTACATAAACAGACACATACAGAAAAATATGACAAACATGTGTTGTGTCCCCAGGCCCCCAGCCCCAGGCCTCCATGCAGAGAGGCCTGTCTAACTCAGCGCGGGGCGTCCTGTCTAACTTCGCCCAGGCCTCCCAGCTGTCTGTGGCCAGCAGCCTCATGGGGATGGACCAGGCGGCAAAGCACTGTGGCAGCGGGGGGGGCAGCGGCAGCAGCAACAGGATGCAGCACGACAGCCGCCGGCAGATCTACAACATCCCAGGGTACTGCTGCTGTCTGTGTCTGTTGCACTTGACGTTACTTATGTTGGTTAAATATGCATCTGAGACATTGAAAACAACAGCTGTAGGTAACGTATGTATATTTTTATAGGCAACCTGAGCCAAACACCAACCTGTTTCAAGAATATAAAGCGGCTCATTACAAATATGTGATATGATGTATGTGAAAGTTTAACTGGAGGAATGTGACTCCTGAAGTTGCTGTAAATGAAGATGTCTCACTCAGAGTAGACACCAGCCGCAGAGAGCAAACAAACACACAGCTTTCACTAAGTCCTCTCAATTAGTTGCTGGAAGATTTCATGTTAATGAGATAGTACACATCTGATATGATATGTTTTATACAGCGCTCTTTTAAAGATGTATTAACAGTTACTTTGATACCAAGTTGATGCCAAAATTCTGTCCCGTTTACGCGTTCAAATCTGAAAGGAAATAACAAATATATATTTCAGTACTGCGGGGCTGTGTTATCTGAAGCGCAGGTTTCCTTCACCGCCCCCTCTCTGTCTTACAGTACGCACACGTTTGACTATTGGCCCGTTCTGGAAACACAACGTTTGTTCCTGATAATGCTAATTGTAAACAAGACAAATCTGTGATGAAATGAGCAGAAGAAGCTAATGTTAGCTGTTAGCGGCTGCTGCTCGTTTACAAGCAAAGGTTATTTCTGCAGTTTGTTAAATAAATATATGATATTTAAGTGAAAGTGTATCTTACTGTGTGTGTGTGTGTGTGTGTGTGTGTGTGTGTGTGTGTGTGTGTGTGTGTGTGTGTGTGTGTGTGTGTGTGTGTGTGTGTGTGTGTGTGTGTGTGTGTGTGTGGTGTGTGTGTGTGTGTGTGTGGTGTGTGTGTGTGTGCTGTGTGTGTGTGTGTGTGTGTGTGTGTGTGTGTGTGTGTGTGTGGTGTGTGTGTGTGTGTGTGTGTGTGTGTGTGTGTGTGTGTGTGTGTGTGTGTGTGTGTGTGTGTGTGTGTGTGTGTGGTGTGTGTGTGTGGTGTGTGTGTGTGTGTGTGTGTGTGGTGTGTGTATGTGTGTGTGTGTGTGTGTGTGTGTGTGTGTGTGTGTGTCTCTCTCCACAGGGTTAAATATCGCCTATCTGAACCCCGCGGCGGTGGGGGCCCATAAGAGCTCCAGCTTAGCGGACCGGCAGAGAGAGTACCTGTTGGACATGATCCCCCCTCGATCCATATCGCAGTCCATCAGCGGACAGAAATGAGCCCATCTGAAGCCCCCCCATCCTGCCCTCCTACCCCATACTGAAGCACTCCCAGATCGACCACCACCCCCCCCATCGCATGCAGGCCTGTCCGTGTGCCTACTTGAACACCAACCCATGAAACCCACGAGTCGGACAAAGACACTAAACTGTCGGTGCATCTCAGATGTTCTTCTTATAGTACAGCTCTTCTTCTTCGTCAGCGTTGTTTAACAATTATAATTCCCATTATTATCGCTGTTGGTAGCACTATTATTATACCTGCAACTACCACGTTTGCTTCAGTTTACTCATTATGCTTTTTCTTTTATACGTGTTTGCTCCGTTTTTGTTTCCCTCTTTTACTTTGGAGCAGTGACAGGAAATCACCGTTAGAGCTCCACCATCACGTAGGATTAAGACCTGATTATTGCTAGTAACAGAAGATCAACAGGGTGCATTCTGGTTGCTATGCCAACATAAAGTTTAACAGCTTTGTAAAAAGTGTTAGCTCTTTAACTTGGAGAAGAACAAAGTTAAAAATACTGATAGGAACAAACCCCCACTCTCCCCTGGTGAAAGGGCCAGTTTCAGGATCTGTGACCACCGACAGCCAGCAGCTGAAGCTTCGATTTCAACTCCACCTGAGTCGGGGGGGGGAATCTGGAACCCACAGGAGGGGGCCCATGTGTACTGAAGAGAAGATCAGAGTTTGGAAAAGCTTTTCCCCATTCCCCATCAGAGGCTCATCAGGGGACTCTTCCTGTCAGCCCCTCCCCCGCAGATCACCAGGTGGATGTAGGTGTAGTCTGTCATGAGCACTGACACCCTGCAGAGAGCTCATCCTGGAGGATCATCTGAAGCCCCCCAAGTGTTCACAGGGAAGTGTTTACTCGGAGAAAGGCAGTCCATCTCACTTCCTGCTCCCCCGCCCCCACCCTTTGGTTATCCAGTATGCACAGACTGAACCCTTTTACCCCTAAGCTCCTTTTTGGGCGTCATATGTTCTTTTAAATGAACTCAAGTCTGAAGGTGGAGGCACATTTCCTGCATCCAAACCACAGATTCTCTACCTGGAACCTAAAGTCTGGGTCCTATTCTTCTTATATTTTAGTTTTCGGATTGTTGGCCCCTCCACCCAACTTTCCTTCTCTTTTTTTTTTGCTTAGTTTTATTTGTTAGTTTGTTTGTTTGTTTTGTTTTGCGGCGTCTCCTAATGAAATGGTGGCGTACCTGAGAGGTGTTAGCCACCGGAGACGATAATAATCATCAAAGCTAAAACAGAAACTATTGTATGGATAATGTATAATACCTAGCTTCAGAGGGAGAAAATAAACGATGTGGATTATATCTTTTATGGAGAGACATGATCAATCATTGTGTGCATGCTCTGCACACGAGTCGCCTCACTCCAGAGGAGCACTTTGCATATTTCCAATTGGAAAAACATTTTTTTTAAAGGAGGTAAAGAATGTTACAATTGAGAATGGCTAGAGTCTGGATGCTGGCTGATGGCCGACCAGAGGTGTGTGAAGATTGTGGGTTGCATCACGGTGTGTTTTATGGGATGATGAATGATCCTTTGCCAGTGTTGATCTCTGTTAATGTTGAACCTCAAGTGTCGGTTTCCAAATCCTGAAAAAAAATCCACTTTAAGTAAATGTATTGTCCGTTCAATCAGTGGGACACAACACCCCCTTTACATGAGTCGTGTCCCCATGGATATCTCTCCTCAGATACTGGCTGGTGGTCACATGGTCACAGCATGAACGCTCTTCCCTGATCTCAAATCTGTTCCAATTTGCACATTTCATTCATGAACTGGTAAACCTGTTCTGTAAATGTTTTATTTAGACTCAGTTTCATTAACATTTCCCCCAAAAAAAGCATGGATTATTACAGGAGGAAAGTGCTTTAGACTCATCCTCCATTGATCTGAACAGACACACTACCCTTATGAAAAGTGTTTTGTGTAACAACAGTGCAGGGTTCTGAAACATTTCATTCTAATAATTGATCATTGCTAAATCTATAAATCTAGAGTCTGACACAAAACTGTTCAGTGATTTATTTTTTCACTATGGAACGTTCAATCCATGTCGACCCCCCCGGGCTGATGCATTGTACAGGTCACACTGACATGAGAGCGACACTGCAGAGGAACACGCTGGCCAACACGTGCTCTGGCAGCCATGTTGGATTCATCCGTTCTAAATGTTTTTCTCTCAGATTCTGTGCAGTAAGTAGTGTGTGTGAATGGAACAATCAGCAGTTACTTTGTGTCAATGGATATCTTAACCATTTTTGGTTGTGTTTACACTCCGTTAGTCATTCTGGAAATTCTTTCACTTTTCACCCTCTGCAAAGCGTTGTGCAGACTCTCACTTTGTCAGGTCAAACTCCTGCAAACTGGAGACATTCTCATCAGCCCCAGCTGTTCGCTGTCTGCAGTGTTAGCATGCTCACATGCTAAACTCAGATTGAAACATGGTTAGCAATAGCGACTACCTACCTTGTTTATTGTCGTTGTTAGCTTGTAAGTATGCTGACATTAGCATTTAGCACAATGCACTGCCTGTGCTAAGTAAAGCTACACAGCTAGCACGGCTTGTAGTCTCTGGTTGTGTTAAAGCTTGTTCTGCTGAATGGCAAGCAATGCAAAAACTGAAGCTAAAAAACAAAGAGAAGTTGAGGGTGGCAGGTTAAAACCTTTTTCTAAAAGTATCACATTTAAAACTTATTGAAAAAAGAAACTATAGCACTTCACAGGGAAGAGCTAGCTTATAATTTACAATAGTGGAAGCTAGCTGTGTTAAATTAGCGCTCCAGTTAGCTAAACTAGCTAACACAGCCTCTCTTCTTTTCATTGCTCAGTGTTATTTTATATTTGTTTCTGTCCATGTACTAAAATTCAGTTTGTATCTGCACTTCAGGTTAAAAGTAAACACCTAACATTTTAAGCGACATTTTCGTTTAAACAATAAAATTGTCCTTTGTTAGTTGATGTGTTGTTGCTAACGCAGAAGCAGCATACTATCTATTTTGAGCCTTTTTCAAAGTTTAGTGAATCAATGGTAAACAGAAAGGTCTGGCTAGCTTCTAAAGGCTTCTATCTTCACTTCTCTTCCCCGACCCAAGGCTGCGCCACAGTAACAGTCTCTGATTGTGTTGCTGATATGTAATAATTATTAGTAAGTTTATCTAATGTGTGTGTGTGTGTGTGTGTGTGTGTGTGTTGTGTGTTGTGTGTGTGTGTGTGTGTGGTGTGTGTGTGTGTGTGTGTGTGTGTGTGTGTGTGGTGTGTGTGGTGATGTGTGTGGTGTGTGGTGTGGTGTGTGTGATGTGTGTGATGGGTTGTGTGTGTGTGTGTGCTGTGTGTGTGGTTGTCGTGTGTGTGTGTGTGTGTGTGTGTGTGTGTGTGTTGTGTGTGTGTGTGTGTGTGTGTGTGTGTGTGTGTGTGTGTGTGTGTTGTGTGTGGTGTGTCATCAGACCATCCCATGATAAACAGCCAGTGAAATGGAAGACTTGAAACTACCTAGGGTGTAAACTAAGTGTACACTTGGAAAACATCATTTGTGCTAATTCTAATAAAAAAAGTAAACATGAATCAATTCTCCTTTGGTGGGAACAGTAGACATTGGATGTAGAGATAGATTTTCATGAGTTTTAAATGTCTTGGATACATTTTTGACTGCCACACACATTTGATTTAGCGATGGTTTTTCCATGCGTCTCCTTCTGCTGCCAAGCTTGAGAAAAAGCTCCTGTCTCTATTGCCAGATGCGCCCACACTCTTTGTATCCGGATTTCAGATTCTTTCTTGAAATCTAAATTTGAAGTCATTCTTTTTCTGACGTGCTCAATTCTGTTTTCTTTCTATTGCAGGTTTAAAAAATAAACAAATGTATTGACTATGAAATAAATGACACGATATTTGCTAGGTTTGAAGTAATAATGACCTTATTGTACATAAGCATTTTCTCCTCCCTTGTTCTGAAAAAGAAATTAAATGGTTGTATATTGTGTAGAAAAGCAACAAAAAAGCCATGAATATTGTGAAGCTTGTCATTTCGTTTTGTGATCACTGTGTATTATTGTGTAACAAATGTGCAAAATGTTTGGGATTCTTTCCCCTCCGCTTCTTGGAGCTCTCCCTGGATGCATTCACCTCGGCGGGGGCTAGTTAGCGTTAGCAGGGGGGTGCACTGGTTCAGACTCACATCACACCTGTGAACATCTGATCTCTTCTCTTGGAGCATGGAAACTGGAAATAACTTTAAAGAATGGTTTCCTGCCCATCAGATGATTCATTGTGTTGGATTACATGGAGCCCTCATGACTTTAGCGTCTCATTAAACCACGTCTGCTGACCCCTTTGTCCACATGACCATATTCTATGAAGTGGACCGGTTACAATCACAGCGTGGAAAGATGATGTTTAAAAAGTCAGTTTTCCAGAAATCAGTTTGTCTCATACACACATTTTTCTGTGACCGGGACATTTGTTTCTGAAAAATGTTGGTGTTTTAATAAAGTTCTTTAAATGCTGTGAGCAGATATCTTAAAAGCTGAACAAATAAAATCATAAAAGGTTTAGTTAGGACGTACCCTCCAGTTCCAGTGGGGGCTAGAGCATGGGCAAAAACATACATAATTCCACATGTCGGTGACCTGATAATGTACAAAGAAAACCTGTTCACACTTTTCATCGGGGTTTAAATGCTATCAGCGCCCGGGGGAAACCCTGTTTTGGTGGAATAAATCCATTTGATACTTAGTATTCCATCCAGTAGACCTGAGGACAGCTGCTTCTGAACCAAGTGATCACTTCCTGCCGACCTCAGCGTACCCCACAGTGCGCTCCTCTGCTGCCGGGCTTTTTACTTCTATTAGTTGTTGTTGCTAATGCAGGGAAACATTTAATTTCTCAATCAGTTTTTATCAATTTTCAGTTGACTTTTTGTATAATGTGGGATCTGCAGAAACAGATGATGAAACCAACCGGAAACTAATTGAAGTCCTTTTTTCGTTTTGCTTACATCAATCCTGACCTTTTGCACATACTTGATATTTAACGGTCTTCAAAAAAGTAAAAGAAAATAATGCTGTTTGAATACTGCCAGTTGATTGACAATTATGCATTGATTGAAAAAATAAGCTAATTTTGGAGGAAATAACTTTGTAATATTTATCTCTTGCAAGCTATGTTTAATAAAGGTTGAAACAATTTGCTTCCAAGTGTGACTTCCTATTCCTGGTTTTGTGACAGAAAGAAACTCTTTATTTCAGTGGCGAGCCGTGACTTTTATACCTAGGCCCTCTGACAGCTTTGACATTACTCTCTCGTTGAGTTACTATTATTTTGTAGAATATCTTAGGCCCTCAGAGAGGGCCTAGAGGGCCCTGACGGCTCGCCACTGCTTTATTTTATAATGACATGTAATAACACCAACACTTTGATGCAAGACTCTGGGAGCCATTTTGAAGCAGGTGTAGGAGCATGCCTCCACCAGCAGGTGGCCTAACACTCTACAATCATTTGATTACTAACTTTGTGTTAGAAATATGGCACCATAAATTCAAAATGGCAGAAGGAAGACCAAATACCTCAGAAACAATTTTTAAATCCTTTTATTTTCAAAAAACAAGACAGGTAAAAAGTATACTTTTTTTTTAACTAAAAAACATGTAAAAAATACTTTTCCCTGATTTTAATAATATTTTTCTTGTCAGTTTTTGTGGCTGTTCTGTGGTTGTTGTTGACATTGAGAAACACCCACTCTTTCTGATGGACAGAACTGTGTTCATGACGACTTATAGATTTACTTAATTAATTGACAGTGCGGTATAATAAGACAGGCTACAGATGCGGACATATATACACACACATATAAAAGTTTTATTTACAAGCATAGGACACCAAACCAACTGAGACCTGTCTGTCTGCCGCATCTACGCATGCACACACACACCTACACACTGTACAACACGCACCTACACACTGTACAACACACACAGGACCTAAAGCATAGATATATATCAGGCTACAGCCGTTGTGTATTTTATTATGTGAAGCACTAAATGGTTTTAGAAAAATATGGACTCTTTGTTTGTAGATATCTACTAAACTACAGCATACAAATAAAGAGAGTAATGTAGGCCTGTTATACTGAGTGATATATATTATACACACTGCTCTGCTTTCTGCACGGACATCACAGCTGTTCACTGTAAACATCGCGTCGCGATGAAAGCAGTTACTGAAATAATATCCAGGGGATGCATGCAGAGCTGTCATTGGCTGAGATAAGTTCGGCCGTGCGTCACGCCTCCACCGTTCCCGGAAATGCATCCG